GACACCCAGCAAACCTCGCAGCAACAGGACACCCAGGAGGAGAAGAAGGACAACGCGGACACGGGCGGCACGGACAAGGTGCCCATGGAGTGGCGCTTCCCTCCTGGGCACTTCCGCGGCCGCTACTCAACGATGCCTAGCGAGGCCGGCTCCTACGACTGGAGCGACCTCGACCATTCGGCGCGCCAACCGTCAGACCCGAAGCTCCCCCTCCCCACAGCGTTCACGGACAAGGAGGACGACGTAGAGCCGTACATTGACCGGACGTCATACTTTATTGAGTTGCATCCCGATCGCTTCCGCGCAAACGCTGATCAGGTCTACCTGTTCCTCCAAGGTTGCACGGGCACGCTCGGCCATCCATGGGCTGCGGGCGTCATGCGGTTGTACCTCAACGAGTGCCACAAGGACGTCGCGCGGCCCCGGGTTGCCACCCTCCAGCAGGTCGTCACGCGCTTCCGCAAGCGCTTCGGCATCGTCGATAAGGAGCGTTATGCCCAGGCCAAGTTTGAACGCCTCCAGCAGGGCTCCCAAAGCGTCCGCAACTACGTGGCCGCCTTTGAGCGACTCGAGCTCGAGGTGGATTACAATGACAACGCGCTCAAGCAGGCCTTCCGTCGCGGGCTGGACCCCGCCCTCCGCAAGAAGATTGACGATATGCCAAATCGTCCGCAGACCGTCGACGAGTGGAAGGAGACAGCGCTCGACAAGGACGAGGCCATGCGGGCGGAACGCGAGGAAGAGAAGGCCTGGCAAAGCAGTTTCTTCCACAAGTCAGCCGCGCCTCAAGTGCCCAAGAAGGATGCGGCCGCTGCTACACCCGCACAGCCAGTCGTCCGGGTTCAGGCATACACAAAGCTCACCGAGGCGAAGAAGGACCGCCTCATCGCGTCCAACGGGTGCTTCTACTGCCGGCAGGACGGCCATATGGTGGAGAACTGCCCCAACCGGAAGAAGAGGTCAGAGAAGGGAGACTCGGATGAGTTGCTTGCGCGGCTGCTTGCGCTGGGAGCGGAGGAGAAGGCGAAGCTCAAGGAGAGCTTGAAGGATTTTTAGATCGCCCTGTC